GAGCCTCTTGCACAGCAAAGGTTTTTGTTGCAACAGAAAAACCCCGGTGCAAGAGAGTTCCCGCCATTTGAATGCAAATTTGTGTCCCGCTATTGGCGAGCTCTAAATTATTCACACATACTGGCTGGTAATTGGCCTGCTGGCTGTTTAAAAATTTGCGCGACTTCCGCCCAAGTCGAAGAACTTTGAGCACGCTGCAGAGTGCCTCTAAAGAGATCTGACTTGCGGCTAGCTGATCGATAGACTGATCACCTATCGATCTTTCTTCCCGTCGCTGAGCGCAATCCCAGACGTACCCTTTTCCCGCCGGCTTGATTTGCGGATAGATTAACTGGCTTGGGCCCCGCCAGCTGGAACAACTCACGTGGTTGTTCAGACAACCGGACCATCTGCGTCGCAACTACAGGCGGCGTAAGTAAACGTTTTTGCAACCATTAAACCTTGTCTGGCTCTCCATTCACCAGCCCGCCCTGACGAACGAGCAATTTCTAAATCACCTCGAGTCGGCTCTGGCCGTCCGAGACACCACCCAAGTTGGAGAACTCCACATACATCTCGTGGAGAGCTCTGAGCACACTGTGGAGCCTAGCAAACTCCGCATGTGTCTTAGAGAAGAATTTAGGGGCCTGATCAACCTCTAATCGCTCCCCGTCACCGACCTAGACCTAGACGTAACCTGACAACTGCCAGCTCAACACATTTGCAGACCGACCAAACGAACTTTATAATTTCTGCCCGACCCAAGTTTTGTTTACAACTGTAATTGAAGCAAGCTTCTGACCTGCACTGTACGAGCAGTGTAAGTAAACAATCTTTTTGTTCAATCAAAACGCTTGAGTACCTGATTCCACTCCAAGCGTCACAAGTACCCGCCCGCCGACTAGGGCTCCTAAGGCCCTGAACCCCGCGCCGCGGCTCTCGGCGGCGACAACTTACAGCAGTGCCTGATTCACTATTAGCATAAATAATGACTGTGGAATTCATACAAGGTATAAAACCAAAAAGTGTCTTTACTTGCAGAACTATTTTCATTGCTCAATTTCAAAACATCCAACAGAACATAAATAATGAGCCTTTACTTTGTCCCTATCTGATTGCAGTAGAGATAAGTAATGAAAAGGCCATATAGTCTAAATTACCATAGTGGTCTCTCTTCATTTAAGTGTTTTTATATTATGATTACCTTAAATAATAGATCTGGCTTAAAGTTTCACTATATAACATGCTTTTGCAACAAGATACCATCTAGATAAAATGCAAGAATGAAGTATAAGCATTCCACACACACTTCTGGTTTTTGGTTTTTTAAATAAAGGCTCTCTTTCCAGATGTAAAACTGAAACCAAAAAAACCCCAAAATATTAACAGCATAGATTTAAAATATCAAAACTTAAAATAAGTAGTCTATATTCTTTGTAACATTACCCAGAGAAATAATCTGGACTACAAACACCTTTATATACCTAATCTGTGTACCCATCTTTCTGAAATGTAGGTGGGAACAACCATGAGGGGAACAAGCAAATCTACTACAGAAAGTCCAAAACAGAAAAGGAACTTGGATGAATTTCTTGTCACTGCTGACTGGTCTAGAGCCAGGTCACTCAATAGCACAGGATTTCCACGCTGACAAGGGAAGGAGAAGAGTATACCATAAAAAATGGTTTTGCCCTCCTTTATTCCCACCTTCCAGACCAGGCACAAATCCAAAAAACTGTTGAACTGTACTAAAATGCTTTACCTCAGAAGAGCTTGTAATGAGTTAGCCAAGCATTTATTGTCACTGCTTGACGCACTTGGTTCAACAGCAACCGAGAGTGGGGCCCCAAACCTGAAAGCTGTTCCATTCAGGCCAAGCATGCTGTGGTGTCCCACTGTCGTCAGCATAGGTCTGCTCACATGGAATAGTTTGAAGGATCAGTCTGAATCATCCATACAAATCCACTGAGGGTTTGGTGTGTTCTTTTTTTCAATTTCTTTGAACAAAATTAAAAAGTGTCCATTAGCAAATTTACTCAAATCTAAGAAGATTTTTTTCCTGCTCAATCAGCAAGTGGGGGAAAGCCCCTGATCTTACATTTGCGTACAAAGCAGGGGTGGGGGGAGCAGGCAGCTGCTGTGGCTCTGAGCCCAGGTCAGAGCCAGAGTCAGACCCATAGCAGCCTTCTGCCCCTGTCTCCACTTGCCCGCCCCCGCCAAACCATCAGGCACACCTCGGCTCTGGCTTGGGCTAGACTCCTCCCAGGAACAGAGCACATGCAAATTCCATCCCCTGCCTGGCCAAACAGCAATGCTGCCACTGCTGCATGGCCTGGCAAGGGCTCAGCTTCCACATGCTGTAGTCCAGCCAGGGAACAAAACAAGGGTAAGCAATTATTTCAGCCGGAGGGCTGTTTAATGAGTTTGGGCAAGCTCAAGGGCTGCAATGGTAGCCCCGCCCACTGACAGGTGCCCCATGCCCTGGTCACCATCTTGGGACTGGAACTCCCACCCCCTAACCCCTGACCTTGGCCACTGGAAGTCCTTCCCCTTGATAAGCACCCCTTGTTTCAGGGGCACCTGGCTGGACCCCTAGGGACAGAGGTGGGGCTGGAAGCCATGTCCAGCAGAGATCCCTTGAGCTCTTACTATGCATTTTCTACTTCAGGAACAGCTTTGTGTTCTGAAAAAAGTATTTTATCTAACCAAGGGCATACAGTAGGTTGTTTAGGCTGGGGGAGATTGCTTGTTGCGTAGTTGCTGATTGCTGGCCTCGCTAGAAGGAATACTGTATCAACAAAGTTCCGGAGCTGGAAGGGGGGTTACTTGGGGGGGAGCTGGAAGGGGGGTTACTTGCTGGGCTTGCTACACATCTCATCACATCAGCAGGTTTAACCTGTTACGTAGCTATATAAGGCAGACGCCCACTGGGGTGGGGGTGCTTGCTTTGCGAACGATTGCCAAGCACCATTTTCTGCGCAGGAAATAAAGGTTAAGTTGGATCCTTCACCCCTGTGTGTTTATTGGCACAAGCGCACCGGGCACGAACTCTCTGTCCTTTGGGGACAACACCCTTGCCCCTAGAAGTACTCCTTTTGGGATGAGGGTTGCCATTTTAGAACTGGAAAAAAAAAATCATATACTAAAATTTGAACATCTACTGTAACATTTTAATATTATTTCAAAAAATATTTTGTCCTGATTTGTGTGGGGTTGCATAATGTATATAGAGGTGATTGCATAATAGCTCAAAAATAAAGTTTTACTCTTGTATATTGTATGGGGGAGTGTGGGGGTTGGGGGGGGAGTGTGTATATGGTGGGGTGTGGAGTGTGTGTGGCTGGGTGTGGGGGGACTTGTAAGGGGGTGTGGTTGCATGTGGGGGGTGTAGGGTATGTGTATATGTGGGAAGGTTGTGGAGATGGGTGTGGGCAAGGTTTAGATGCAAGTGTGTGTAGGGTATGAGGGAGGGAGGGGGTGTGGGGACCTTCCCACACCCCCCCAATGATGCACAGCACCCCCACCAGCAGTGACAGCCGCAGCAGGAGGTGGGCCCTCAGGGTGCTCATGGCCTGCACAGGCATTAGTATCAGGTGGGGAGCCCTGCTCCCTGCTTTTCAGCAGAATCCCATGAGCTGCATGTGGCAGCAGGAAGCAGGAAATGCTGCTGGCTCCATTGAGCAGGGCTTCCCCCTATGGTACACAGGTCCCAGAAGCTGCACATGAATCCTGCATGATAGGGCCAGGCTGGCTTGGCCCACTCCTTGCCACCATGTGCAACTCCTGGAACTGGCTAGAGCTGGGCACTGTCCAGTGAGTGTGCCTGTGCAGGCCATGAGCATGCCAAGGGCCCATCATCTGTTGCTGGTGATGGCAGGGGTTGTGTGCCATGGAGAAGAGGTATGTGGGGGGTCCCCGTACCCCACAAACGCCACACATACACACACATCCACGCCCTGTCCACCCAAGCTCCATGTTCCTGCTGCCTCACTGGGAGCAGGGCCCCAGGCTCTGCACTCCTGCCAGCCCCAGGAGCAAGCACAGCAGCAGGGACATGAAGAGGTGAAATGGTGTCATCCTCAGCAACAGGAAATGCCTGGGGTCACCCCAGAGTCCTTTTATATTTCAATTTTCTTCTGGGAACAGACTCCCCTTCACTCACCTGCCACATCTTGATGTTTCTTTGGTTCTCAAAGAGGAGGCTGCCCCAGGGCTTCCCAGATATGGTCTATGTACACAAACACCTGAAGGTAATGAGCTTCTGCCTTAAGGGCTATTTGCACAACTCCAACCTCTCCTTATCATGCCCTATGCCTTGCAGGTGTCATTTGCATCTTCTGCTCACTCGGTTGGGGTCTCAGCCAATGCAGCTTCTACCCCTTTTTATATAGCTAAGCCATCCAGCTCAGACCCACTATGTTGGACCCAGCTTTGACTCTGGGCCATCTGGCCCCTAAAGTTGCACACTTATAGTGCCAAGCTCTCTGGCCCCTGAAGCTGCACCCCTGCAGGCATTAATGAGGCCTCCACCTGCCCTACAGCCTCAGCCACAAACCACCAGATTAAACTTCAACATAAACACTAAGCCCCTGGGCTACAACAAAGCAAAAAAAATAATAGAGGCAATCAGCCTGCATACCCCTGGCTCCATGACCCTGGATCACTCAGCCAGGTGCTCTCACTGACAGAGCTGATTCACAGTTTCTTGGAGTCTTCAGGAGTCCTCTCTCAGTCACAGCTTGGATTGGCCACTCTCTAGCCCAACCAGCTCAGCTCAAAGGCTTATATACCCCTGGCCTGAACTCCCACACTGTCATGTGACTGTGCCAGTCAGCTGACTGGCCTGCAGGGATACCCTTTAACCCATGCTCTGCTGGTCTTAAAGAGGATGCTCTGCTTCTTAGTAACAGGGCTAGGGTTCCCTGTTACGGGAGGAGTTGCTGGAGGCTGGGGAAGCTGAGCAGATTCCTTGGTGGCTGCAACAGTGGCAGCAATGAACCCACCCAGAACCTGTGGGTGCTGGCTGGAGCCAGGGCCCTCCTGTGCAGGAGGGTAGGAGCAAAGCACATGGGCTGGGTGGGGTGCCATTAATTAATGGGCGCCCATGGGCTGGAGGAAATAGAGGTTGAGCTGCATCTGACAGAAAGGGGGTGAGTGGAGGAGAAAGAGACTCTGGAGTGGAAACAGGGAGAGGCAGAGACTATGGGAGGGGAAGGAAGAGACTGAGACTGGGAAGCAGGGGAGGGAAGATGCAGAGACTTGTGAGGAGGTTGGGGTGGGGGTTGCAGGTGGCAGAGGGTCAGGAAGGCTGCAGGCGGAAGAAGTGGGGACAAGGCAAGGGGGCCACCTGATGCCTCCAGCCACTGCTTTCCCTGCTGTAGAAGTTGGAAGAAGCACAGCAAGGTAGAGGGTGAGGTACAAATTTAAAACAACCGTAGGGTACTTAGATTTTATACCTGGAAAATTATAACAAATTTATAACATTTCTATATATATAATCCAATTACTGGGGAGTTGTCTTAAATTCAGGGTCATTTTAGACTTGAGAAAATGTGGTAGTTTAAAATGCCATCCGCATATGGAGCAGACCTACTGTCAATAAGTAGTTCTATTTTAAATAATCTCACTGAAGTGAATGGGATTTAAGACTGTGTAAAACATGTTGGACAGTGCTAGGAAGCACTGCTGTGAAAACACTTCATACTAGGGCTGTGCAAAGCTTTGGTTGCTGATTCAATTTGGAGGAGATTTGGCCCAATTCGGTGGCCAAATCTCTGAATCCGAATTGAATCAGGACACCCATTAATCTCTCCAAATCGAATCAGAGGCTTCCAATTCAATTTGGAGAGATTTGAAGATTTTGCCATAGACACAACTTTATGTTTTTTCTATGTACGTCAAGGTACCAGGCACAACTCGTGAATGCTAAGATGGTGGGGTGGATGGAGTGTCCAACGGGAGTGCAGGGGGAGTCCCCTGCATGTTCAGCAGCAGACCCGGAACTGGACCAGAAGTACTTCCGATCCACTTCCGGATCCTCCACCAAGCGTGTGGGGACCCCCCCACCCCCGCTCCCACGCTTCCCCAGCTTGGTAATTGGCCACAGGGGGGCCCCGGGGGCCCCCCCCCCCCCCAGACCCAGGAGGCACCAGTTGTTGAGCCAGGGGCAGAAGGTCTGCCGCCAAGTGTGCGGGGAACCCCCCTGCACTCCTGTGGGACGCCCCATCCACCCCACCATCTCAGCATTCACAAGTCGTGCCTGATACCTCAAGGTATGTAGGAAAAACATATAAAGCTGTGTCTATGGCTGCATTGCTGATTCTCTGAATCAGAATTGAATCTTCAGATTCAGCCAAATTGAATCGGGACAGTGATCCAAATCAATAAATTGAATCACTGTCCCCTGAATCAGGCCGAATCCGAATCCAAATGGAATGCTGCCCACTTCTCACACCCCTGCTTCATACACACTTTCTTCCACTCTGCCCACGTACTGAAAAAAGTGTTATGTAGCTTCTTCTTGACATAAACCCAGCATTGCTTTCAGTTTCATGTGTATTCACTGGAGTATATTTCATCACAGCATCTCCCGAGCACTCTGACACACTATAGACATGCCCCAAAGGTTTTCAAAAGAGGACCCCATGGAGACTTACTCTGATGTGAAATAAGAACATTTGCCATATACTGTGCTTGTATGTTATGTACAGGTGTCCTCAAGTTCTATATAACTTGCTGTTAGATCACTGGAATGACTACACCTAAGTGACAGGACCCAACTATCAATTCTAAGGGAGCATTCATCTTAAATGCATTAATAGAAAAATGAATATGTCTAAAAGGAAGACAGTTCTGAATGAAAGTTGACCTTCCATTTTCAATAGACCTAGGAAAGTCTTGAGTCAGCTGTACGCAACCTGGAACAATTAATGTGCAATAGTTACTTAGAGAGTCACATCAATCATTATCTCATCAGCAGTCAGAAGACTTGTCACAG